AGGAAGAAAATCTGGAGAAGAGGAGAGTATGAACTCCTAGAGAAGAAAATCTGGGGAAAGAGGGAGAGTATGAACTCCTAGAGAAGAAAATCTGGAGAAAGAGGGAGAGTATGAACTCCTAGAGAAGAAAATGTGGAGGAAAGAGGGAGAGTATGAAATCCAGAAAAGGGCATCTGGAGCAAATCTGTTCAAAGCAAACCTAGTGAATCATAGTAAACATGCAGTTAGGTAAATCATTTCAAAATAATTTGAAAAAAAAAAAAGTAATTTAAAGGGACTACTGTACATTAGGTAAATTATTATTATTATTATAATCAAAAAGAAGCTGCTAAGCCACAAGGGCTATACAGCGTGTACATTAGGTAAAACAGTGAAATGAAGTACCTACTTCCAATAAAACTATGAAATTAATAAAAAATAATCCCAGGTAAACTCTAATCCATTCATTTACATTCCTTGCATGATGAAGTCATATAAAATCCCAATATAATACAAGTGTATATTTTTGAAAAATTAATCATTATAAATTTTTATTATTATTACTTAAGCAATAAGTAAAAATTGTGATGAAATATAGTGGACTTTAAACTCTGCATTTCATTCACTAGACTTACCATAACATTTATTCTTCCAAAATCATTTTCAGTGCTCTAAGAGTTCAAAAGTAGTACAGCCTCTCCTCACTTACTGATGGAGTTCCGTTCCTAAGACCATGTCAGTAAACGAATTCATCGCTAAGTGAGGAGCATACTATAATGGTAGTGGGTATGTGTCAACCATCTTTGATATTATTTTAATGTCACCTTTGCACCATTTATAATATTTCTGGTATATTTTTAAATGTTTATACAGTAGTGTACTGTATATTATAATAAACAGAATAGAAGAAATCAGCTCTTATATACATTATTTAGGTATGCACACTGGTCAGAGAGCCAGTCGTAAGTCCGAGTCATCAGTAAGTGAGAGAAGGCCGTATTTATAATGCTTACCTCTGCTAATGGCACTTGAAGGATCCAGGTGAAAGTATTTGGATCAAAGACAGCACCACCAATAATATTCCCATCAGGACGCACTAAGTGAGGCGGATGAACAACGTGCTGTCGATCATTAGTGTCTAATCTTAGAATGAGATTTTTCCCAATTGTGAAGTCCACGTTGAAATTTGATCCAAACTGCCGAGCTGTACCTTTGTAAACCTCTTCATGAATCTGAAGATTAAAGTTTTTAATGTTTAATACAATGTTCCTGATTCTGTTTAGCTTACAAATTTTTTTTTTTTTAATTTCAGTGGAGATGTTCTGTCTAAGAGCAATGTGTGGTATAAATATTATGCAGAGAATTCGGAGTGAGGAAATTAGAAGGTGTGGAGTTAATAAAAGCATTAGTCAGAGGGTTGAAGAGGGGTTGCTGAGGTTGTTTGGTCATTCAGAGAGAATGGATCAAAGTAGAATGACAGGGAGGGCATATAAATCTGTAGGGGAAAGAAAGCAGGGTAGGGGTTGTCCTTGAAAAGGTTGGAGGGAGTGGGTAAAGAAGGTTTTGTGGGCAAGGGGCTTAGACTTCCAGCAAGAGTGCATCAGCATGTTAGATAGGAGTGAATGGAGACAAATGATTTTTGTGACCTGACAAGCTGTTGGAGTGTGAGCAGGGTAATATTTAGTGAAGGGATTCAGGGAAACAAATTATTTTTATATAGCCAGACTTCAGTACTGAAAATGGGAAGTACAATGCCTGCACTTTACAGGAGGGGTTTGGGATATTGACAGTTTGGAGGGATATGTTATATATCTTTATGTATGCTTCTAAACTGTTGCATCTGGGCACCTCAACAAAAACCGTGATTATGTATAAGTGAGGTGAAAGTGTTGAATGATTATGAAAGTATTTTCTTTTTGGGGACTTTCATTCTTTATGGGTCACCCTGCCTCGGTGGGAGATGGCCAACTTGTTGAAAAAAAAAAAATTCATATGCTGTACATCAACTACTTTTTCTAAAATTTTTAATGTTATTAGATTTTTTTAACACACTGACTCTCTCCCACCAAAACAGGGTGACCCAAAAAAGATACGCTTTCACCATAATCTTACAGAATCATTGTCTTTGTAGAGGCAAGCAGATACGACAATTTAGATGTCACTCCAATCAGCAAATATCCCAAACTCCAGAAAAGGATCACAGTTCAAGTGTAACAAACCCTTGGTATTTAAGGAGATCTTCAAAAGAGAATAAGAATAAGAATAAGAAATTTATTTAGACATGATACATAGTTGTACAAAGGAATATAATAGTTGGGTGTACATGCCAAAAGCCCCTTTGTATGCAAAGCATTTCGGGCAAACTTAATATTAACTTAAGATTAGTAGGGCAATAACAGATTATTATATTGGCCATTGATGAGTTACAGTGAGTACAAGTACAAGTTTAGTAGAGAAGTTCAGTAGTGAGTAATTACAGTTTTAAAATTAGTTTACAAAAATTACATTACAATGGTACAATTTGAATTGATTTACAATATGGAATTATTACAATGGAACAATTTAAAACAATTTACAATATGAAATTATTACAATTTAGTATTATTGAAGACAATGAAATTTAAGCATCCTAATTTTGAAGTAACGAGTATATGGATGAGCAATCCTTAGCACAATACAGTAGGACCCCCGCATAACGATCACCTCCCAATGACGACCAATTATGTAAGTGTATTTATGTAAGTGCGTTTGTACGTGTATGTTTGGGGGTCTGAAATGGACTAATCTACTTCACAATATTCCTTATGGGAACAAATTCAGTCAGTACTGGCACCTGAACATACTTCTGGAATGAAAAATTATCGTTAACCGGGGGTCCACTGTATATAGTAATGAAGTTGAATTAAGTTTATAGCTGAGCAGTCTTAACTTATTTAGAAGTTTTCTGTATAGCTTTTGAGTAACTGGTAGGTAGTGAGTATGATTTGTCTGGTTAATTTTGGGTGATGAGATGATTTCTAAGTAAAGCCTTAAATTGATTTGCAGGCAGGGGTCCTTTAACGTGTTCTGGCAATGAATTCCAGAGCTTAGGGCCCTTTACGTGCATAGCATTTTTGCATAGGGAGAGATGGACATGAGGGATATTGAAGAGTGATTTGTGTCTTGTATTGTGGCTGTGTGTTCTGTTACAGTTATCAACGAGGAGTTTGAGAGGAGGGTTTATATTTGAGTGTAGTGTTCTGTGTATGTAGTAGGTACAATAATAATTGTGGACATTTTGTATATTAAGCAAGTTAAGACTCTTGAAAAGCTGTGGAGTATGCTGTCAAGTGCAGGAGTTGGTAATCAATCGCACTGCAGGTTTTTGTTGGGTTGTTAAAGGTTTAAGGTGATTTGCTGTGGTTGAGCCCCATGCATAAATACCATAGGTGAGGTAAGGGTAAATGAGAGAGTGGTAAAGAGCAAGAAGAGCTGATTGGGGTACATAGTACTGTATCTTTAAAAGGATGCCTACTGTTTTGGAGACTTTCTTAGATATTTGTTGTATGTGTATCTGGAATTTGAGACCACAGTCAAGGTGGAGAACAAGAAATTTGCCCTGTGAGTCTAGAAATGGGTGAACCATTTATTATTATGTTTAGCTGTACATTTGAAGCTCTGTTTCCAAACAGCATGAAGTAGGTTTTGTCTATATTGAGAGTAAGTTTGTTGGTAGTCATCCAAGTAGATATTTTTAGTAATTCGGCATGTACAGTGTCTGTTAGTAAGGTTGGGTGTGGGTGAGAGAAGACATAAGTAGTGTCATCTGCAAATAAAATGGGTTTAAGGAGTTTAGATGCATTTGGTAGACCAATGATGTAAATGAGAAAGAGAAGTGGGCCAAGGACACTCCTCCATGGGACCCCAACAAGAACAGGTTGAGTAGTGGAATTAGCTCCATTTGTGTCTACATACTGGTTTCTACTGCTAAGATAAGATCTTAGATAACTTGAGAGTGAGTCCTCTGATCTCAGAATGTTCTAACTTATGGTGCAATAGGTCATGGTCAATTGTATCAAAAGCTTTTTGTAAGTCTATGAAAATTCCCATGGATATGCTGGATAGGATTCAGTGCTCATAGTAATACAATCAGAGCTGGATTAAGATTTTGTAGGCCCCTGGGCTACAGGTACTGTGAGAACCCCAGTGATATTTTCAAAAGAAAAAATTAGTTAAAGAAATATTAAATTTATTTTTACATGGCTAACCATAATTAAAATTTAAACATTTACTTTGCTTAATTTCTTGGAAACAAATTTCTCCAAAACATCAGTAAATTGTTCTCCATGGGGAAGTGGAACAGAATTCTTCCTCCGTAAGCCATGCGTGTTGTAAGAGGCGACTAAAATGCCGGGAGCAAGGGGCTAGTAACCCCTTCTCCTGTATATATTACTAAATTTGAAAGGAGAAACTTTGGTTTTTCCTTTTGGGCCACCCCGCCTCGGTGGGATACGGCCGGTGTGTTGAAAGAAAGAAAGATCAGTAAATTGTAAGTTGCTGAGAACGTCACTGGAGGCCCTCTAGCTGGCGATGGCCCCTGTGCTACATCCCCTAAAGCCCATACCCTAATCCATCCCTGAATACAGTCAATTAAACCACTCATCTGAGACGGAAACATTAAATTATGACAAAACAAGTGTCACCACAAAAGAAAGAACCATTGCTCTTTACCTGGGCTGATTGTCAAGAAGCTTAAGTGAACATCACTAATTATGCAGAACCTTGAGTATTGCTGACAAGTATGGCAGAAAGACCTTGAGATGAATGAGAAACTTCTTCAGTACATACTTGGATATCTTCATTTTTGGAAATGTTTTGCCAACTGGTGCCTTTATCAGTACAATACAGAGAAAGAACAGTAGATGTGAAGAGGAAGTTTTAGATAATCAGTCCCTCGGTCTTATCAAAGCTGAACACATCGTATTTAAGTTAAAGGGACTGATTAACTCATATGTACTCTCTCTTTGCATATTCTGCCATTTTTTACTATATTACACAGATAAAGCAACTGGCTGGTGAAACATTTCCACAATATACTCAAGTGTTGTGCAAGTCACTCATTCATTTACTTTTCTGATTTCTAAACCATTTTTATAATATTAGAAAGACCTTTATTATAAATGTTTCACTCTGGGTCTGGTTTCATCAAACTCTGAGTGCAAAATGTCATTTACAACAAAGGTTTGCTCTGCACTAAGTGTCTCCCTACACAAAACATGGCATTTTACATTTAAATACAGCAGTCCCCCCATATTTACGGGGGATATGTTCCAAGACCTACCATGGAAACTGTGGATAGTAATGAACCAAGTCATTTTTCATTTACATGCATCTTCTTCTTTCAACAAACCAGCCGTATCCCACTGAGGCAGGGTGGCCCAAAAAAGAAAAACAAAAGTTTACTAGCCCCTTGCTCCTGGCATTTTAGTCACCTCTTATGACACACACATGGCTTACTGAGAGAGAATTCTGTCCCACTTTTCCATGGAGATGCCAAGCCCATGATGACACTCTTCAGGTTGCCTGTTCTATCTAGGCTGGAATATTGCTGCACACTAACAGCACCTTTCAAGGCAGGTGAAATTGCTGACCTAGGAAATGTACAGAGAACCTTCAAGGCACACACAACTGCAATAAAACACCTCATTTTCTGGGAATGCTTGAAGTTCCTAAACCTGTACTCACTAGAATGCAGGAGGGAGAGATACATGATTATATACACCTGGAAAATCCTAGAGGGACTAGTACCAAACTAGTACCAAAGTGTCAGGGGCCCAAGACTGTTCAACTGTCTCCCAGCATACATCAGGGGGATTACCAATAGACCCCTGGCTGTCGTCAAGCAGGCACTGGACAGGCACCTAAAGTCAGTACCTGACCAGCCGGGCTGTGGGTCATGCATTGGAATGCATGTGGCTAACAGTAACAGCCTGGTTGATCAGGCCCTGATCAACCATGAGGCCTGGTCACAGACCGGGCCGTGGAGCCGTTGACCCCCAGAACTCTCTCCAGGTATACTCCAGGAGATAAGTGGAAATAAACAAAAACAAGAACTAGGAAGAAAATAGAAGAAAACCCAGAGGGGTGTGTATACATATGGTTGTACATGTATGTGTAGTGTGACCTAAGTGTAAGTAGAAGTAGCAAGATATACCTGAAACCTTGCATGTGTATGAGACAGAAAAAAGACACCAGGAATCCTACCATCATGTAAAACAATTACAGGCGTCCGTTTCACACTCACTTGGCAGAACGATTGTACCTCCCTGGGTGGTTGCTGTCTACCAACCTACTACCTAGGATTTACACACATACCTATGATAACCTTTAATTGATAAATTACATACAATGCGCACAGTCAGTCGAGAATTAGCAGTTTTTCACCGATGGGAAGCACTTCATGACTTCTCTTAGGCTTTGAAGAACTGCTACCATCACTACATACGCACTCTGGGGCTATTATTAAGCAAAATTATGGTTATTTTCTGGCCATGGTAAACCACGGATAACTGAAACAGAAGAAACAGAATCCAAGGATATGGGGGTTCTACTGTACATTTAATTCCACTCTTGGGTGACAGAGAAGAGTTGCATATTGATGAAGCAGTCATTAACAGGGTTAAAAAAAAAAAACTCACATAAACAGGATGGTGTTGGAAAATTTTCTTTAATAAACCCTGGGTAAAATATGGATAATGCATTTCATATTTTTTATGAAATATGAAAAGTTATTACAAAATTGAAAGATTAATAGTCACATGACTCCTTCAACTAACAAATGAGCAAGAGGGCAAGCAAGAGAGAGAGGATGGGTAAGAGGGCAACCAAGAAGACTTGTAAGAGTGAACAAGAGGGCAAGCAAGATGAGTAATAGAGCATTTAGTTTAGTCTAATCAAGCTAAGTCAAAGTATATTTCCACATAACAAACAACAAAACAAAGTTTATTTCTTTGCAAGGTTACATTGAGATTATGAAATTACAATAATGGGGTACAGTGCAAAGAGCCACTATCATGCCTAAGCATTATGGGCAGACTTAATTTAATGACTTACATACTACTTCATACTAAAGAAATTGATCATAGTTTGTTTAAGTTATACATCTTCTTTGTTTATAGCAGACAGTAGTTTTACTTTAATTACAATAGTTTCAATAATGAATATTGAAATTAAATTATGGGAATATAACATTGTGAGTTGTTGAAAGTAGTTTACAGTATGAGAATGCTCCAGTTGGGTGTAAGGCAGTATTGTTTTGGGTAGGTATTTATACTACAAAGTAGGATTAATAATGTATGAACTTTGGGCATCTAGATTTGAAGTTTTAAGATTTGATACTATGTCATTAAATGTACACAAATAAGTATTTGATGAATGTAATTTTAAAGGAGGGGTTTGGGATATTGGCTGTTTGGAGTGACATCTAAAGTTCATCTAATGCCTCTGAAAAAGACAGTGTTATGTATAAATGGGGTTAAAGTGTTGAATATATGAAAGTTTTTTCTTCTTTCGGGTTTTTTCTTTTTTTTTTGAGTCACCCTCCCTTTGGTGGGAAACACCCAATGTGTTAAAAAAAAAACAAAGTAGATTAAAAATAATCATTGTACGGGGTTATGGAAAAATTACTGGTTATAGCTAGAAGTGTGAAGGAACATTTTTTACATTTGATAACATATTCAAGAACTCAAATTCTTGAAACATGTTAATGAGAGGCCATGCAAGAGTGAATGAACATGACAGAGGCAGAAAAAAAAATATATCAGCAAGAGTACTGATCAAATGAGCAAGCACATCATACAAGATAAAATCTCAAAATCTGCTTAAGTGAGGAGAATTCATGGGCCTGGTACCTCTTCCACTATAATTCCTATTATAAATTCTTTTCACATATTTCATAAATCTTAGAGATTATGATACAAGGTCAATACAAATAAAACAGAGGTGATATGAAGACTCACAGTGACTGTAGTGTTGCTGCGGGGAGGTGGTGGCTGAAAGTGAGTGCCCCATAAAAGGGATTTCCAACTGGGGCCCTTCATCAATGCATTCACGGTGAATGTTTTACCACCAGTCAGCTCTGCAATTTTTTCTAACTTTGGATCTGCTTCTGCCCTAAAAGATCAAATTAATCAGATATTACACTTTACTGCTAGTTTATAATTTACGGATAAAAACCTTAAAATTGTAGTTTTTGTTACAAATATTTTTTCTTTTCTGCGTATTGGGGTAATAAGTTTAGTGAAATAAAATACTGTTAGGCCCCAAAGAAAGCCACTAACACGTGTGCTTTTTGGGGACTAATCCTAAGCTAAACCCCTTGGGGCTCGTGCCGTTCTTCAAAAAGGTTTAAACCCGGGGCCCAGCCATAGTACTGCTGATGAGCTCAGCTCACCAGATAATGTGAGCGGTAAATGTAGGCCTAGAAAAGAGATGGGGCCATAGGGTAAAGTATGCCCAATAAAAAAAAATCCTGCAAAGCACGCAGTGCATAATGATAAAAAAACTGCGACCATATTTTTGACTTAAAACATGACTTTGTAGTGTATTTTTTTGGTTTTTTCTTGTAGTCTCGGTTTCTTATCTAATTGATAGAAGGAAGAATAGAAATAGAAATGATTTTGACAAAAAACATAAAATTTAGCTAAAATAGCTAAAAATTTTTCGATTTTTCCAGTGTTAAAGAGCAAACAAACCCAATAAATGCCCCAATAATATTAATGGGGGTTCAAAATAAGCTTTCCCAAAAATACCTGGTGTTATTTATCAATTATTACAATATTGTTAAGGTAAATCTTCTGTTTCTCAGTGTGAATAAAGATTCTTTGTGTGAATAAAAAATCAAAAGGAATTCATGTGTAAAGCTGGAAAATAACAATGACAAAGGAAATTTTTTTGGAGGGTGTTTTTTTCTTTTTTTAAAAAACAAATTTTTTTATGGGACTAAATGGGGTTTCTGGGAGTTTTTTTAGCTAAAAAAATAAATGGGAAGGAAATAGAAAAAAATAATTGGTCAAGGAACTTAAAATTTTTCAAAATGGACTAAAAAAAACGCATGCATAAAAATTAAAATAAAAAACCCCAATGAAAATTTTTTTTTTCCTAAATTTTACCTTTTTTTTTTATGAAAAAAAAATTTTCTTTTTAAAAAAAAAAATTTTTTTTAAAATTTTGGGGGCCCCTGGGTTTTAGGGGGTTTGACCCCGGGGTTTAAAAAAAAGCGAAAAGGAAAAAGCAAGATTTTTAAAGGAAAAAAAAAAAAAGAGGACAAAAAAAAAAAAAAAAAACCAAAAAAAAAAAGGGAGAAGAAAAAAAAATAACAAAAGGGGAGAAAATTTTTAAAAAAATTAAAAAAAAAAAGGAAACTTTTTTTTTTTTTTTTGGGAAAAAAATAAGGAAGAAAAAAAAACAAAACCCAAAAAAAAAAAAAAAATTTAAAAAAAAAGAAGAAAAAAAAAGAAGAGGCCCCAAAAAAAGGAAGAAGAGGGGAAGGGAACCCACCAAGTAAAAAAAAGGGTTTACACCCGCCAAAAACGAAAAAAAAAAAAAAATTAAAAAAAAGAGATGTTTTGAAAAGAAAAAATTTTTTTTTTTTTAAAAGGGAAAAAAAAAAGGAAAATTTGAAAAAGAGAAAAACAAAAAAAAAAAGGGGGGAAAAAAACCCTCCCCTTCCCCAAACCCCCCCCCCCCCACCCCCCTTCTTCCCCCCTTCTTCCCTTTCCTTCCCCTTTTTCCTTTCCCCCCCCTATCCTTTTCCCTTTTTCCCCCCTCGGGCCCCTTTTCCCCCATTTTTTCCCCCTTTTACCTTCTCCCCCCTTTTCCCTCCTTCCTTTTTTTCTAACCTTTGTCAAAAAAGGGGTAAAACTCAAAGGGGGAATTTTCAAAAATTTAATTTAAAAAATAAAAAAATTTTTCTTTTTTTGGCCCCCCCCCTTTGGGGGACCCAAAATTTAAAAAAAAAGAAAACTTTTTTTTTTTTAAAACCCCTTTTTGGATATTTTTTGTAATTATATATTTGGGGCAGAACCCCCAGGGGGGGGGAAAAAAAAGGTTTTTTCCAAACCCCCTTTTTGGGGCCCCCCCCAGGTCCCCAAACTTTCTCCCTTTTTTCTTTTTATTTTCCTTTTACCCTTTTATTTTCCCCCCCGGTTTTAATCCCCCTTCTTTTTTTTATGTATTTTAAAGGTTCAAATTTTAACCAAAAATTTTAATTTTAACTTTAAAAAGGTTTTCCCCCATTAGTTTTTGATTTATAAACCCTAAAATTTTTGAAAGGAGGATTTTGGTGTTTTTTTTCTCCCCTCAAAAGGGTTTTTTCCGTTTTTTGGACAACCAACTTCCATTTTTACACATTGGGGTTTCTTTTTTCTTTCAGCTTTTTTTTTTTTTATCTTCACCCTGTGACAAGTTTCAGACCGGCCTGCCCCCCCTCCAGGGCTTAATCAACTTAAGAACTAACATAGTTATTAACAAGAGTTTCTAAATGTACAAAAAAAAAAAAAAGGGGTAGCTAAATAAACAAAAACACAATTTTAAGTATCCATTAATACTACAAATGGGTTTAGCACTTAGTTATGATTATAATAATAATTTATACTTAGCAAGGGGCTAGTAACCCCCTTCTCCTGTATACATTACTAAATTTAAAAAAAAGAGAAACTTTTGTTTTTCTTTTTGGGTCACCCTGCCTCAGTGGGATATGGCCAGTTTATTGAAAGAATTAATACTTCATTTTTGTTCAGTGATCTTCAGTTATGCAATTTAAAAAGTTGAAAAACTAAGAAGAGTATTCACCCAAAAGCCACTGTAATGACGCGCACACCAGAGTCCAAGACATTCTGCAGGATGTCTTTAATTCTGGGATTTTCATTTTCCTCACCATCAGTAATGAGCAGTATAACTGGGTTCTTCACACCTGCCAAAATCTGCAGATAATATAAAATAGTTATTAATGTTAATTCTTTACACTGAGTATGCTATTTTATGTTATTAAAGAATTTATTTTTTTTATAGTTTTTAGGAAACTTTATTTAAAAAAGGTTAATCACATTAGAGAAATATTTTGAGTTATATTAATACAATATCTCAATGGGGAAGTAGAGAAGAATCCGGTGGCCTGGTGGCTAAAGCTCCCGCTTCACACACGGAGGGCCCGGGTTCGATTCCCGGCGGGTGGAAACATTCGACACGTTTCCTTACACCTGTTGTCCTGTTCACCTAGCAGCAAATAGGTACCTGGGTGTTAGTCGACTGGTGTGGGTCGCATCCTGGGGGACAAGATTAAGGACCCCAATGGAAATAAGTTAGACAGTCCTCGATGACGCACTGACTTTCTTGGGTTATCCTGGGTGGCTAACCCTCTGGGGTTAAAAATCCGAACGAAATCTTATCTTATCTTATCTTCCTCAGTAAGCCATGTGTGTCATAAGAGGCGGCTAAAATGCTGGGAGCAAGGAGCTAGTAATCTCTTCTCTATAAATTACTAATTATAAAAAAAAATAAAACTTTACATTTCTTATTTTACAGGCCACCTTGCCTTTGGGAGACAGCCATTATGTTAAAAAAAAAGTTAATACAGTAATCTCTCTTATAAAACTCCTCTATATACCGTGATATTTTTTGTAATCTAGGTAGTAGGTTGGTAGACAGCAACCGCCCTGGGAGGTACTGTCCTGCCAAGTGAGTGTTCTTGTTCCTACCCTTTGTGGGCCCCTAGCTCCCTTGCAGTGCTCCTCTTTCTTAGTCTTTGACTCCACTACTTCTACTACTACTATTCTTCCTTTCCTACCATCTCTCATGTCCCGTGCCTGTCTGCTGGCCTATATATACTCCCTCCTTCTCTCCTTTTTGTTAGTGTGACTTTGTAAATGGTTCAAATCAGACCAAAACATCGTCTTAAGCCTCTCTCCTACATGCAGGTTATTTATGTAGTGTTCCAGCCACGGTATTATGCCTTTTTGCTATTTATGAAACCTGTAATTGTTTTACATGATGGTAGGATTGCTGGTGTCTTTTTTTTCTCACAAACATGCAAGATTTTAGGTATGTCTTGCTACTTCTGCTTATACTTAGGTCACACTACACATACATGTACAAGCATATATATACATAACCCTCTGGGTTTTCTTCTTTTTCTTACTAGTTCTTGTTTTTTTTTATTCCCTCTTATCACTAGCAGTGAAAGTAGTAGCAGTATATGTGGTAAATGTTAGTAGTATTAGTGATAGTAGTACATACTGGTAGTAGTAGTGGCTATAGTTAAAGCAGTAGTGGCGGTGGTATAAGTAGTAGTATTTTACAGTACTATTGTTGTTATTTCCCTATTATTATTATTATTATTATTATTATTATTATTATTATTATTATTATTATTATTACAGTATTATTATTATGATGCCAGCAAGCACTGGCTATCAAGTCAATTGAAGTAAAACTTTATCACACTTACTCACTTTATCTGTACCCACCTTCTTAACAGCCACATACAGTCCTGCTCCAATACTTGTCCCACCATCTGCTTTTGTCTCTATTGAGTCTGCAAGGATTTTTCTCGAAGCATCATCAGTGATCTGCATCAAACGATGCACCAGGCTGGCCCTTTGGCTGTATTAGAAATTTCTACTATTACCTATCACACAAGTCGAATTTATACAAAAAAAACTGACTTGCATCAGCACAATATATCACCAGTATGCATTTATAAACATTTCCTATATAGAACGCAGGAAACATTTTTCTGGAAATTGTCGCCATATGAAAAATACGTACTTTACCATATGAAAATATGAAAACCACATGAAAATTACTTTTTGCTGATAATACTGTGCTTTTGAGGATTCTAAAGAAAAGTTGCAAAGGTTAGTGGACAAATTTGGGAGGGTGTGTTAATGTAGAAAGTTGAAAGTGAACATAGATAAGAGTAAGGTGATGAGGGTATCAAAGGATTTAGATAAAGAAAAACTGGATATAACACTGAAGGGAGGGAGTATGGAAGAAGAGTGAATGTTTTCAGATATTTGGGAATTGACTTGTCAGCAAATGGGTTTATGAAGGATGAGGTTAATCATAGAATTGATGAAGGAAAAAAGGTGAGTGGTGCATTGAGGTATCTGGGGAGACAAAGAAGAGAATGTACGAGAATATAGTGGTACCAACACTATTATACGGGTGTGAAGCTTGGGTTGTAAATACTGTAGCAAGGAGGCGGCTGGAGGCAGTGGAGATGTCGTGTCTAAGAGCAATGTGTGGTGTAAATATTATGCAGAGAATTAGTAGTGTGTCAGAGAGCTGAAGAGAGGCTGTGGAGGTAGTTTGGTCATTTAGGGAGAATGGAACAAAGCAGAATGACTTAGAGAGTGTATAAATTTGTAGAAGGAAGGCAGGGTAGGGGTCATCCCTGAAAAGGTTGGAGGGAGGGGGTAAAGGAGGTTTTGTGGGCGAGGGGCCTGGACTTCCAGCAAGTGTACGTGAGCGTGTTAGATAGGAGTGAATTGAGACGAGTGGCTTTTGGGACCTGACGAGCTGTAGAAGTGTGAGCAGGGTAATATTTTGTGAAGAGAATCAGGAAAACCAGTTAGCCAGACTTAAGTCCTGGAAATGGGAGGTACAATGCCTACACTTTAAAGGAGGGGTTTGGGATAGTAGCAATTTGGAGGGACATCTAAGCTGTTGTGTGTGAGTGCCTCTGCAAAGACAGTGATTATGTGTGGGTGATGGTGAAAGTGTTTAATGATGATGAAAGTTATTTTCTTTTTGGGTTTTTCTTTGTTTTTGGATCACCCTGCCTCAGTGAGAAACAGCTTACATGTTAAAAAAAAGAAAATGAAAAAATACAGTAGCATTATGTAAAGTGAAGATACAGGTAGGTTAGCCAGTACATCCTGGCCCAGGTCTCCTCCATGTGGTGACCCAACCATAAAGTGAAGACGACTTGGGGAAAAATAGGGTTACAGTCTTGGGACCTCAAAAAGTTGTAGCAGACATCACTTATTGACATGAAAGTGTGTAGAAAAAGTTGATGTGGCCCTACTGGGCTGAGCTGGATATAGCAGGTTTTATCAGCTCAATACTAAGTACACATAAAAATAAAAGCCATATTTCCTTATCAAATTGTACCAACCATGAAGAAACTCAACACATTAATACCATATGAACATATACCAAAAATAAACACATTTGATAATGCTAAAACAAACAAAAGATGTAAATACACAAAATGTCAAAGGCAACATCAGTTAGGTCTGTCAACACTGGTAAAAATATAAGCCACATTTCCTGACTATAAATAAGCATATAGGAACTCTTCACACTTATACTAAGTAAACATATACTAAAGAAGAATGTATCTGAGAAGTATAACCAAGAAAAATGCAGAATTGTAATATAATGACCTGGGAGGTTGTTGCTGCTACTTTTTTATGGGCTATGATGCATGTGTCTCATAAGCCCTGCTCCCAGTTGTGCCTGGGACATGTGGAGAGGTGCCAACTACGACATTCCCCGTGTCCGACTAAATCTTTACAAAAATTCAATGTATGTCAAAGGCCCTAAAATCTGGAACACCCTACCCGAAAACTCTAGAACTGCAGACACATCCATCACCTTCAAAATTACCGTTAGAAAACATCTTATCTCCCTGATACACCCCGTCAACTAACTACATAAAAACCACCTGGAGGTTCACGCTTACACTCACTCACTCACCCATTTGACTATAAGCACAGAAATACGAATCTTAATCTTAAAATAATGATTCGTAACTAGTCATAAGATGGCCTGTGATACTCCAATATAGAAACTATGTATTGTGCCAAAACAAAAGCATTCACATTGCTAAACTCACAAACTAGTATTTAGTCACTTAGTATTTAGTCAACTTACTCTATAATTTGTAATAATTTAGGGTTAAGAATTAATCTAAGTTTGCCTGAAATGCCTAGCCATGCTAGGTGTCCTAGTGGTCCCCTCTGTAATTAGTATTTTATTACATGTAAACCACACAATAACCAAAATCTATAAACACCGCAATCAATTTTATTCTCTATAGAGAATAAACTTAATTGATTGAGTGATTGATTGAACTACACCTCAATACAGTGTAATCTGGGTGGAAATGTTGGGCATGTTTTCTTACACCTGCTGTACCTGTTCACCTAGCAGTAAATAGGTACCTGGGTGTTAGTCACCTCAAGGCATAAGATAAGATTTTGTTCAGACTTTTAACCCCGGTCACAGACCGGGCCGCGGGGGCGTTGACCCCCGGAACTCTCTCCAGGTAAACTCCAGGTCCAGGTAAACATAGGGCGAGTTCGCCCAGGATAACCCAAAAAAAGGCAATGCATCATCGAGGGACTGTCTTATTTCCATTGGGGTCCTCAATCTTATCCCCCAGGATGAAATTCACATCAGTCAACTAACACCCAGGTACCTATTTACTTGTTAGGTGAATGGGACAGTCAGTGTAAGGAAACATGCCCAATGTTTCCACCCTTGCTGGGGATTGAACCACCGTGTGTGAGGCGAGAGTGTTGCCTATCAGGATGTCCCTGTTCACTTAGCATCAAGTAGGTACTTGGGTATTAGTTGACTATTGTGGGTTGCATCCTGGGAGACAAGTTTAAAATGACCCCAATAGAAACAAGACAGTCCTCGATCATATGCTGACTTTCTCGAGTTATTTTTAGTGGTTAACCCTTCCCTGTGTTAAAAATCCAAACAAATCTTATCTTAACCAACAAACATTTTATGACATGCTAAACCTATTTGGGGTCATTCAGTGGTGGGACTGGAGAAAATTATCCTCCAATTGCTAAATGAGGCCCAATCTATGACCACTCAACTCACTAATGATCATCCAGAAAAATTACCGAACATTTCCAAATACGTACAGCCTTTCCTCACTTAATGACGAAGTTCCATTCCTAAGACCATGTCGTTAAATAAATTCACCACTAAGTGAGGAGCATACTATAATGGTAGTGATTTTGTTTCAACCTTCTTTGATATTGTTTTAATGTCACCTCTGCACCATTTATAACATTTCTGGTATATTTTTAAATGTTTATACAGTAGTGTACTGTATATTAAAATAAACAGGAGAGAGGAAATCAGCTCTAATATACATTATGTAGGTATAAAAAATGGTCAGAAAAACCCCAGTAAG